AATCTTATTGATCTTTTCAAAGAACCAGCTCTTGGTTTCATTGATTTTTTTGTATTTTTTTTGTCTTTATGTCATTAATTTCTACTCTGATCTTTATTATTTCCTTCCTTCTACTTCCTTGGGGCTTTTCTTGCTGTTCTTGTTCTAGTTCTAGTTCTAGTTGTTGTGTTAGGTGGTTCATTAGATCTTTCTCTTGTTTGTTGAGATAGGCCTGTAATGCTATGAATTTTCCTCTCAGAACTGCTTTCTCTGTGTCCCATAGATTTTCGGTTGTTGTCGTACATTTTTGTTTCTTTCCATGAAGTGTTTGATTTCTTCCTTGATCTCATTGGTAACCCATTCATTGTTTAATAGCATGCTATTTATCCTCGATGTGTTTGAATATTTTTGAGTTTTTTTATAGTGGTTGATTTCTAGTTTCAGGGCATTGTGATCTGAGAAGATGCTTGATATGATTTCAATCTTCTTGTATTTGTAGAGACTTACCTTGTGCCCTAACATGTAGTCTATTTTTGAGAATGTTCCATGCACACTTGAGAAGAATGTGTATTCTGCTGCTTTGGGATGAAATGTTCTATAAATGTCAAATCCATCAGGTCTAGTGAGTCATTTAAGGTCTGTGTTTCCCTGTTGATTTTTTTGTCTTGATAATCTGTCCAATGCTGACAGTGGGGTGTTATGGCCCCACTATGATTGTGTTGCTGTCAATCTCCCCCTTCAAGTCCCCCAAGAAATTTTTTATATATTTATGTGCTCCTGTATTGGGTGCATAAATGTTTATAAGGGTTATTTCCTCCTGTTGGGTTGATCCCTTTAGTACTATGTAGTGACCATCTTTGTGTCTTTTTATGGTCTTTATTTTGAAGTCTATTTTGTCAGAAATAAGTATTGCTACTGCAGCTTTCTTTTCCTTTCCATTTGCATGGAATATTTTATTTCATCTCTTCACTTTTAGCCTGTGTGAGTCTTTTGCTCTCAGGTGGGTCTCCTATAGACAGCATATATTTGGGTCCTGTTTGCTTATCCATTCAGCTACTCTATGTCTCTTGATTGGACCACTTATTCAATTTACATTTAAGGTTACTATTGATATACACTTATTTACTGCCATTTTTCTTCTTTATGCTGATGTACTTTTCTCTCTCTATTCTTTCTTTTTCTTAGAGCAATCCTTTTAGCATTTCTTGCAATGCTGGTTTGGTGGTACTGAACTCCTTTAGCCTTTTTTTGTCTGGGAAGCTCTTTATTTCACCTTCAATTTTAAATGATAGCCTTGCTGGATAAAGCAATCTTGGTTGCATGTTCTTGCTTTTCATTACTTTGAGAACTTCATGCTACTCCCTTCTGGCCTGAAGAGTCTCTTTTGAGAAATCAGCTGTGAGCCTTATGGGGGTTCCCTTGTAGGTCACTGCTTGTCTCTCTCTTGCAGCCCTTAATATTTTCTCATTGTCCTTGACATTTGCCATTTTAATTATGATGTATCTTGGAGTGGGTCTCTTTGGGTCCTGCTTGTTTGGAACCCTCTGTGCTTCCTGAACTTGTGTGGCTTTCTCCCTCGCCAGCATAGGGAAGTTTTCTGTCATTATTTCCTCCACCGAGTTCTCTATCCCTTGCTCTTTCCTCCCCCCCGGCACTCCTATAATGCAAATGTTGTTTCACTTCATGTTGTCCCAAAGCTCCCTTAGACTGTCCTCATGCTTTTTAAGTGTTTTTTCTTTTTGCTGCTCTGATTGAGTGATTTTTTCTACCTTATTTTCTAAGTCACTATTCTATCCTCTGCTTCATTTAGCCTGCTTTTAATTCCTTCTAGTGTATTCTTGCTATCAGATACAGCATTATTTATCTCTCTCTGATTTTTGTTTATGTGATGTATCTCTTTTTTTTATGTTTTCCATAAAGTTCTCTATCTGATCCTCTATTGCCTTGTTTTTCTCATTAAGTTCCTTGTGTACAAGGATTTTGACAGTAGCATTATTTTTGGTAACAATTAATTATAGGTCACCGTGGCTATTAGCTACTTGCATAAAAAAGGATAATGCACTAATGAAAATTAAACAGCTGTCAAAAATAATGCAGTTGACTTACACATAGCAACACGTATAGATTTTTAACAATTAGAGTTGATTGAAAATAAAGAATGACATCAGATTTAGAACTCAATGACATTTATATAAATTAAATATACAAATAATAAATTTATATAAACATTAACATTATATAAATATTCTCCCATAAATGAACATATAGCTAAATAAGCATACTGGAGAGTCATTAGAAAGACACATTCCAAGTACACTAGAGTTTTCACTTTTCTGAAGGGAAAAGAAATAGGAGCAAGATCGAGATATGCAGAAGAAAGACAGCAAAAGAAAACAAAAAAAGTGCTTTATGGAAACTGATGATGCTTATTCCCATGACTTGAGGAATATGAATAATTCACATCAGGTCCAAAATGAAAATTTAAAAAATAAAGGAACAAATCATGTTTTCTAATAACCAGCTATATATCTATCCTGTTTAAAAATCTTTCACTACAGTAAAAATTACTGTAGGACGTTCTTGCTGAAAAACACATTGCATTTCTTCAGTAATATTTTATTAAAAATTATCTTGCATTTTATCACTTTACATTGAACCATTCAATTGCATGGTTTGGAATGTACGTATCTAACAAGCATGTATAGAATTTCTGAGTGAGCTTTTTGGATTCATGGAAGGTGCCAAGTGTGCATTTGCAAATGAGTATGAAGATGTATGAATGTTTGTAAGACCCCTAGACCCAGAAGACTGACTTATTGCCTACAGAACACACAGTCAATGTAAGGCTGGAATACCAGAGGTCTTGTCTTTTAGAAAAAAACAAAACCCCCAAAATATCATTTTCTTTTCTCATCTGCCTGCCTGTCTATTCCTGGATGGCCTTTTGGGACAAAGGAACTGGGTATGGAGAAGTTCCCAGAGGGCAGAGTCCCTTAGGCTCTAGAGTTATAACTACTCCAAATACTTGGGGAGTTACCCAGAGCTCCAATGTCAGTAGAACAAGACTCCACAATTCACATTTTCTGGGTGGAGGGTGGCTGAGAGGCCACTATACCAAGATTATCCACGAGACAGGAGTGACCCACTCTTCAGCCCAGGTCTGTGTTCCTTTTCATTCTTGACTCAGCACAGCTGAAGTAGTCTGAAGACGGGGTAGTAGAGACTGCATCCTGTCTCAGGTCAGGGGGCACAAGAGAGACCACGTGCTCTAGACACCTCTCTTTTGTCTTCTTTTTGCCTTCTCTGATCTTTTGCTTGGTGGCCACAGATGCAGAGAGGCTGGAGTTTGTCCATAGGAGATTAATGGGTGTGCTAGGGCTAGGAAGTGCATCAAGGTGAAAACTGGGGTTTTCAACAATTAATATGAAAATTTAGGGGCCAGAGGAAGAGAAGAATCTGCCTACAAATGCTTAAATCATAAGGCAGAAATTAAATTTTATCTATATAACTTCAGAAGTTGAGGACAAAGATCACAATTGAAGGCAAGTGGGGATCGGAAAGTAGTGCCGCAGGTTTCAGCTCAATCTAAAGTATTTCTAAAAGCTACTGCTGCTAAAAACAGAAAATTATACCTAGAATATCAAAATTATCTGTTGCTGGATGCAGTCAATAATGTCTAAAGTGACACTTGAGAAAGAACCTTAGAATCCCTTATCTCTAGTGTAAATGAGAGTATCACATCACTTTAGTTTACACTTCTTTTTCTCCAGCCTATTCCCTATGTCAGAGTTAGTAAACTCTCCCTTACACTCTCATAATAGCTAGAGAAAGACCTTGGCATTGCCCATATTACTTGTATTTATTATCCATTCTCCCCAGGATTACTTTTATTTTAGGGAGTAAGAACAATTCCTTATGCAATGTTGTGAACCTAGCACCTGAAAGAATGCTGGGGGAAAGGTTAAATGATAAGAGAATAATGGCAACATTGGACTGGTGCCTGGAAGGGGACATTGTGTACCTGGATCATTATATTGAAGATGGAAAGGGCAATAGGAAGGAGATGGAGGGACTTCAAAGGTGAACTTCGTCATTCTCACACTGTTGCAATGAGAAGAATCAACTTTTCCTCTTGTTTAATGACAGGCATCACTCCTGCCTAGCTATGTGACATTGCTCATTTCTTTTTAATTTTTTTGCAATATCTTGTGATTCTTATTATCGTTTAATTTTATTTTTGTTTAAAATATTACAGATGTCCCCTTTTCTCCCCAATGACCCATTCCACCCTGTTCCAACCCCCTCCCCAGTCCCTCTCTCCACCATTTTTTTTTAAAGGTTGTTTCTTCCAGAAGTTAGGAATTCTACAAATATGAAGATATAAGAAATAGAATAAAAGTAATTACTGAGCAGGATCTATACCTACAAATTAAAATGACTTCTGAAACAAAATGTAAATTCACTTTATTTTCAGTGTATAATTTTAAAATTGTCTAATTAAAGCACAATAAATACTGCTGAAAGGTCAGAATAGGGGCAGCATGGAGGTTCAGTGACATTTATCTGAGTCCTTAGTTTGTGTCAGGCTTACTTGCATGTACTGTTACAGTTGAATTACAGATTTAGTAGTCTATTTGGTCATTATAAAAGGAAAGAAACATGCAAGTACAAATTTAGCTACTCACTTGTAACAAAGTAGTTTTCTAAGTAAGTAAGTAAGTTTTCTCCTACTCTTTACTGTTTAGACATTATAATCTATAAAAATAAACCTTGAACAAATAAAATATGTATAAACAAATCATATTACCTTAATCTTTTCTATACTGTTTAAAGTGGTAGAAATATCCCAATAGCATGGCACAAAAGATAAACAGATAAATTCATTGGCTCTGGATAACCACTATGATCCGCTAGTTTATCTAAGTAACGCAAATTGTATCTTCATATATCTTGAGTAGAAGCTAATTTTATTTTAATTTTACAGATCAGTAAAATAAAGCTATGGAAATATATGACAAAATATGACAGCACACCTAAATGAAACCATCTCCGCTGAGGTCTCAGACTTCGTCCTGAATTGTTTTGTCAGGTCCCCCAGCTGGCAGCTCTGGCTGTCCCTGCCCCTCAGCCTCCTCTTCCTCCTGGCCATGGGGGCCAATGGTATTCTTCTGATCACCATCTGGCTGGAGACCTCTCTTCACGAGCCCATGTACTACCTGCTCAGCTTCCTCTCTCTGCTGGACATCGTGCTCTGTCTCACCGTCATCCCCAAGGTCCTGGCCATCTTCTGGTTTGACCTCAGGCCCATCAGCTTCTTTGCCTGCTTCCTCCAGATGTTCATCATGAATTGCTTCCTTGCCATGGAGTCCTGCACATTCATGATCATGGCCTATGACCGCTATGTAGCCATCTGCCACCCACTACAATATGCATCCATCGTCACGGATCAGTTTGTAGCTAAGGCTGCCATTTTTACTTTGGCCAGGAGTGTCCTTATGACAGTGCCTATCCCCATTCTCTCTGCCCAACTCCATTCTTGTGGGAGAACTGTCATTGAGAACTGCATCTGTGCCAATATGTCAGTCTCCAGGCTCTCCTGTGATGACATCACCATCAATCGTCTCTACCAGTTTGCTGGAGGCTGGACACTGCTGGGGTCTGACCTCATCCTCATCTTCCTCTCCTACACCTTCATACTTCGAGCTGTGCTGAGACTCAAGGCAGTGGGTGCTGTGGCCAAGGCCCTAAGCACATGTGGCTCCCACTTCATTCTTATCCTGTTCTTCAGCACCATCCTTCTGGTCTTCGTGCTCACTCATGTGGCCAAGAAGAAAGTCTCTCCTAATGTTCCAGTCTTGCTCAATGTCCTTCACCATGTCATTCCTGCAGCCCTCAACCCCATTGTCTATGGGGTGCGAACCCGGGAGATCAAGCAAGGAATCCAGAGGCTACTGAAGAAAGGATGGTAATAAGGACAACTAGATCTCTGAACTCTTAAAAGAGAAAGACTTAAAAATCAGGGAATGGGAAATTAGGTTGAAACTCCTAGCTCAGAGACATAAGTTCCAGGAGAAAAGTAATTTTAATTCTGAAACAACTTCTTGACTCTATTCCTCCCTTTTAAACTCCAATGCTTCCCTCTAAAAGTCTGATATTTCTATAACTTAAAATTTTTCCCAATCTTTATACTCTGTTTAGTCTAAAATGTGAGAACTCAAGAGTATGAATTCTATAGTGGAGAAGTAAACTACACTTAATATTGTATTTACTATTTCTCTACATATAATTAAAAATAACTATAGATATAAATGTCTATGCCTGCAACTTACTATTATTATTGTTGTTGTTGCTGTTGTTATTAATCTAGTTGCATAATGTAGTTGTGAAAAACCACAGTATTTTAAATGTCAGGCCTAAATACTGAAAAGTTGCTGAAGTCCATAAGATCTCTTTCACTTACCATCAACCAGACCAATAACTTTTTTCTCCTATTCTTGATGAAGCAAACTTGCATCTTGTCAGGTACAACTCTCAAAAGGGTATAGCTCTTGCAAGAATTGCTCACATGTGGAGAAATGAGATTTACTGGGTATAGGAGATGGAATTATCATAGAAAGTCTGTTCCTCAATGTCTTCACAGCATTGTCTGCGTTGGAAACCTCCCCTTCAGTACTCAGTGTGTGATGTGTATATGTAGGGCTCTGCTTTGGTGTACTAATGTCACAGTATCAGAAGATGACATTGAAATATACTAGGACATATTATTAACTAAAGAAAGACTTTCTAAGCAACTTCTCTGGTACAGGAACTTGGTTAGAGCCCCAGGGCATGAAGAGGCACAGAACAAAATTTCAATTATTGAGGAACTCATGTGCTATTTAGGCAGATTATAAAGCAATCTAGACCCTTTAATATTGAAAGAGTGTTTTCCTACACATAGAAGAAAGTATAAAGAAATGAGGTACAAATAAATACAGGGAGTGACTTGCAAAAGAGAAAAGGCCCGATATGGTGAGTTACAAGTTCTGCAGTCTAGGCCCTGCACAACCACAAATAAAATGCATGACAGGAAGAAATCAGCAGCCTCGCTGAGTTTCAGAGTCTTCATCTGTTACATGAAGACAGTCAACTAGTTATTTTAAAGCATATTTCTAGTTTCAAGGTCTATAAAACCATGTCCTTCCTCAAGACGGGCATCACTCACATTGAGTCTCTTTTTCATACTTCTCTTTTTAAAAAATAATTTTTTATTTTTAAATTACAGTTTGCACACAATATTATATTAGTTTCAGGTGTACAATGCAGCAATTGGACATTTATACAATTTACAACATGATCACCCCAATAAATCTAGTACTCATCTGACACCATACATAGTTATTACCATATTATTGACTATATTCCCTATGCTGTACTTTACATCTCCATGACTATTTTGTAACTACCAATTTGTACTTCTGAATCCCTTCCCCCTTTTCACACATCTCTCAACCCCCTCTCATCTGGCAACCATCAAAATGTTCTCTGTATCTATGAGCTTTTTTCTGTTTTATTTGTTTATTTATTTTGTTTTTATTTTATTTTTTAACTGATTTTAGAGATAGAGAGAAAAGGAGAGGGAGAGAGAGAAACATCAATCAGTTGTCTCTTGTAGGTGTCTGGGGGACTGAACCCACAACCTGGGCATGTGCCCTGATCGGAAAATCAAACCTCGACCTTTCAGTGCACAGGGTGACACTCCAACCACCTGAGCAACACTGGCCAGGCCATTTTTATCTTGTTTTTTAGATACCACATGTAAGTGAAATCCTATGATATTTGTCTTTCTATGACTGATTTATTTAACTTAACATAGCACCCTCTAGGTCTATTTGTTTGTTGCAGATGGCAAGATTTCATTCTTTTTTATGGCTGAGTCATATTCCTTATTTATATGTACCACATTTTCTTTATCCATTGGCCTATTGATGGGCACTTATGTTACCTCCACATCTTGGCTATTGTAAATAATGCTCCAGTGAATATATGGATGCATGTGTGTTTTCAAATTAGTGTTTTGGGTTTCTTTGGATACATACCCAGAAGTGGAATTGCTGGATTCTTCTTTGTCTCTGTTATAGCCTTTGTTTTAAAGTCTAGTTTGTCTGGTAAAATAATTGCCACAACAGCTGTTTTTGTTTTGTTTCCATTTTCATGAAATGTCTTATTTTTATCTCTTTACTTTCAATCTGTGTGTGTCTGTCAGTCTGAACCATACTTTTCCCCTTTAAGCACAGGTGTAGACACTTCTCATATTCTCTCATGACAGGTGAAACTAAATGGGAAATTTGAACAGTGTATCAAGGTCAACTTCTAAATACCACAATTTATGACTTTGTTCACAGGCCAAACTCCAAGTATACCTGAAAGATGATTTACACATTCACATCATGTATGGGTCTCAGCCTGTATTCACCTGCCCAGAATAAGCTAATGGTCCTTCCTAATGGGAGGGCTCCACATATGTTTACTTCTTGGCCCAATAGATGGGAGGCCCAATAGTCAAAACATTTCCCTCTTAAAAATCTAAGTTACTCTATTTGAGTCTTCATCTTGTCTTTAGGATTGACATGTTCCTGAGGATTACTGATGTGGGAAATATCAGTTTCTTACAAGGGAAGTCTTACTAGACTCCAAATTATGGGTTCCTGCCTTCTGACCTCAAAACAAAAACGAGTCAAAGTCCATTATCAGTGCAGTTTCCAAAGTCTGTGCCATTTAACTTGAGTTAAAATATTAGTTAAATCACTGATCTGTTTAAGGTATAGTGTTCTATGCTTTGTGTTTCTTTAATCCTCTATCCAGTAATGAAAATAATTCAATCTTGAACTTCTGATGGTCTTTAGTTTCATAACTGTTGGACTCCTGTTATTATCTGCTTGAAAATAAAAATGCATTTGTATCATCCTAATAATAAACAATAATGTCAGGTAATATTATGTTCAAATTTTGTTTATATGATACACTATGACATAGACCAGTATAATCAACTAAAATCTCACTCTTGCAAATAACAATATTTCAGAAGGTCTTAATTCCCCATACTTATAACTAAGTATCAGTGAGAAGGATTCTCACAATAAAAATATGATATACTTCTAAAGCAAATTTAATCAACTACTGTTATAAAATAGATAATGCTTGCAACTTCTAAATGGTATTTACCAGCATCTTTCCATTAATGCTCTAAAAATTATGAGGTTTAATAGTGACTCACATCAACTTATCTCAAAACAAACACATATTTTTACAAATAAAAAGGCGGAATGAAACTTACATGAAATGGCTTCCTAGAGCTGAGAAATTTATCACAAGCTATTTTTACTAAAAGATAACTTTGAAATTTTTTGCATTATAAACATGTCTGCATTGTTTGTCTACTAATTTTTAAAGTGTAGTGAGATAAATTCTGGCTTACTTATAAATTGTATGCCCCATTTCTATGTGAAAAACACAATAAAGAACAATAGTGGCTATATCCCACTCATGATATGTAATAAAAATTAAGATTTTCTTCAGATTGATATAAAACTCAGGAAAATGGATAGAAAAAGCAAGTTAGCCCTGGCCAGTGGCTTAGTTGGTTGGAGTGCTATCCTCTACACTAAAAGGTTGTGGGTTTGATTCCCCATCAGGGCACATACAGGAGGCAACCAGTCTATGTTTCTCTCTCTCTCTCTCTCCCTTCCTCTCTCTCTCTAAAATGAATAAAAACATATCCTTGGGTGAGGATTTAAAAAAAGAAAAGAACAAGCAAGTTAAATGAACAAAAAAGTTGACTCTAAAAGAATGAACCATAATAATAAATAAAATCTCTCATTTGTATCTGCTTAACCAGAAAGAGAAAAGGAAACCAGAGAATTTGGGTGAATTATGACTTCTTTGCATTAAAATAATGAGAATGCAGAATATAAAATATTAGAAAACAAGGCAAAAAGATTAAAATAGCAAAAGTCTTATTGATTAGCTTTATGCACGTCAAAAAGACCCAAGTCCTGTAGTGACCGGACTGAGGCTAAAGATGAGCCATATGTCCAGGAAGGTGTTATTTTTAATTAGCTTTTATTAGTGAATAAAAAATAATAGTAACATTATAGTAAGCAATGGTTGTTCGTGTTAAGAAATTAAGTTTAAATCTTACCTTAAACAGATTTCCTAATTTTATACATCAGCATTTAAAATTGCTGATTTTAATTTTTAAGAAAAATTTAGAGAAGACATAAGATATATAGAATGCTTTAGAATCTAACTTTCAAAAAGAAACAAAAATAGGGAATATGACCCTTTGAAGTATGGAGCAACTATCCAGATATTGTTAAAATGAAGAATTTGTTGGTAATTTTCACATCACTAGGAATTAGGAACTTGTCTCCTATCACTATTAAGTGCATCAGGTGGATATCTTAGAAGACATTCCAACCAATACTGGAGATTGATGTAAGAATATATTTCAGTATGTCCACAGGGCATAGCAGTGGCCCTGCACACTAAACTTTGGAACTATTTTTTTTTCTTTATTTAATATGTATTCAACACCTAATATGTGCCAGATACATTAAGATCTAGGAATTGAAGATAGGGTCATGAGCAAAAAAGACAAGATGCTTGCAATCCAGGTACTTTTTAAGGGGAACTCAATTTTAGGGAAATTTAATTATTAAATGGGTAAATAAATAATAAATAAAAAAAGAAAAAGAGATGGCATAATGTGTTTGAGTGATCTGAAATAGGAGAAGGCCATTTTGGATGTAATTATAGGAGAGGTGCTCTCTACAGAGGTGACTTTTGAATTGAGATTATGAATGCTGAGAAGTTTGAACTATAGGGTAAGACTTTCCAATCAGATGGAGCAATAAATACAGAGGCCTTAGCTGAGGACAAAAAGAAGCCCAAGAAGTAGTGGACATTCTTGCAGTGGGTGGGAAACAACCTTGGGGAGACAAAATCAGAAGTCAAGCCCATGGCCACGGAGAGATCTGACTGCAAGTAGCAGAACCTCAGGTTCCAAACAGGCAAAGAATTGGCTATCATCCTAGAACTGGCGGAGGACTGCAGGTTAATGTAGAGCAATAGAATGGGAACTCAGGCCAGAACCAAAGCAGGGACTGAATCTTACAAACTAGAGACATAAAAAAGAAGAGGCTGGGGTTTAAAGGCCAGACCCTATCATAATGTTACTAGAGAGGAAATGATACAACACAAAGATGTTATATCTTGGATAAGTTTAATTGGAATGATGCTCAACACTAAAACCTTCTCTTCAAGTATTGGTTGACTGCATAATTGCATTGGCATTACTCCTACGCTGGATGTCACTGGAGGCAGGTCTGAGCCAAATGGTAGAAGATCATTGAATATGGCTGGGGTAGCTGTAAATAAAGGAGAGCTAAAGCAATTACCCCTCTCGATATACTTTACCAGGGATTCAAAGGTGTTGGATAAAGCAGGGTGGGTAGGGTGGGGTAGGGCAAATTCAGCCTTGTTTTGTTTTTTCTATAGACTAAATATTTAATATTTAATAAAAATGCATTCATCTTTTTATTTTTTATTGGAGTATAATTGACATATAAAATTATATTAGTTTCATGTGTGCAACATAATGATTAGATAATTGCATACATTGTGAAACAACACAATAAGACTAGTTAACATCCATTATTATACATGGTTACAATTGTGTTTTTTATGATGAGAACTTTTAAGATCTACTCTCTTAACAACTATCAAATATGCAATGCAGTATTTAACTATAGTCACCATGCTGTACATTACATTCCATGCCTTATTTTTTTAATAACTGAAAGTTTATACCTTTTGAACTCTTAAATCATTTTGCCCACCTCCCACCTCCTGCCTCTGGCAACCAACAATCCAATCCATTCTCTGTACCTGTGAGCTCAGTTTTTGGTTTTCATTTTGTTTTTCAGATTCCACATGTAAGTGAGATCGTATGGCATTTGTTTTTCCCTGACTTATTTTACTTAACAAAATGACCACACGCTCCATCAATATTGTTGCAAATGGCAAGATTTCCTTCTTTCTATCGTTGAAGGATATTCCATTGGTGTGGTGAGGGTCAGTATTGTGACAGTGGCTGAGAAAGGTTTACGTTCTAGATGAGGGTGGCAGCATGGATGCCATGCTATGTTCCTTGTGGCATTCACATGAAACCATCACTAATACATGCCCAGACTTCTCTAATCCCGGATCTTTAGCTCTCACCTCTTAATAGTGGTACTTGAGTAGCTTGATAATTCCTTGCTTGATTTCCTGGGTTCGTACTCCATAAACAATGGGGTTCAGGGCTGGTGGGATAAGGTGATGCAAGACATTGAGAAGAATGGGTACCTCTGAGGGCACCTTCTGTCCCGCCTTGTTTGTGAAGATGAAGACCAGCAGCAATGTATAGAAGAACAGTATAAGAATGAGATGGGAACCGCAAGTACTCAGAGCCTTGGTGGCCGCACCCGCTGACTGCAGGCGCATAACCGCACTCAGGATGCAGCAGTAAGACAGCAAGGTGAGCACCAGGTCGGAGCCCAGGAGGCACCAAACACTCACAAGCTGGTAGAGCTTGTTTAGGTGAATATCCCCACAGGAGAGCTGTGCCACGGAAATGTTGGCACAGATGCAGTTCTCCACCACATTGCTGGCACAGTAGTTGAGCCTGGCAGCCAGAACTGGTGTGGGCAGTGTAGCCAGGAAATTTCGCAAGACAATAAAAATGGCTGCCTTAATGACGAATTGTTCAGTGATGAGGGACTGGTAGCGCAGCGGGTGGCAGATGGCCACATAGCGGTCATAGGCCATGACCAGAAAGGTGGAGGACTCCATGGGAAGGAATGTATTCATGATGAACATCTGCAGGAAGCAGCCGGCGAAGCTGATGGGCTTCATGTTGAACCAGAAGATGAGCAGGACCTGCCAGAATCATTATTCTCAAAAACTGTGCAAACATTTCTACCCTAGGGTGCGTATCCTTGGAAAGCCCTCAGATGGTTTCAACCATCCGTATTCCCAAACCACAGCCCCATAAACCCAACTGAGACAGTATCCTTTTTTCAAGTACCTTCTTTGTGAGCCCCAATCTTCAGAATCTGATTTTATACCCTTTTCTATCCATCTATAGAGCACAATTTTTGCTTAAAAATGTTTATTTATACCNCCAATCTTCAGAATCTGATTTTATACCCTTTTCTATCCATCTATAGAGCATAATTTTTGCTTAAAAATGTTTATTTATACCCTGTCTTGTCTTAATCTTTAAAGTTTTTACCTAAACCTCAGCTGACACATCTGCCCACCTAAATGTATCACAAGACATTAAACCCAGTAATCCAATATTTATATTTAAACATCCTCAACCTCTCCATACTCATAAGAAACGTTTTCCAATTATGTTTCCTATTTCAGTATATGACATAAACATACAACCAGTTACATCTTAGAAAGTAAATTCTAGAGGCCTTGGGTGTAAGGGTGGGATCATTCATAGTCAAGAAGAATCACACTAGAAGTTAAAAGAAGGGCAAAAGTTGGAATATCACAGATTCAGACACTGAGAGAGGGCCTGTCATTTGGGAAATAATAAAACCTTAGAAAAACACGGACAGTGAGAATGAGAGGGGGCATATCTTAGCTTTGATAGACCTAATGTGATGGTGCAGGCTATTCACTGAGTATTTTCCTTTAGGTGTAAGAGGATTTATAGCAGACAAGAAACAAAAACCAAAAACAGGAAAGATGATTGCCTGCCTGAGAGTGAACTATGGGAGGCACTGACCTTGGGGATGACCGTGAGGCAGAGGATGACATCCAGCAGGGAGAGGATGGCAAGCAGGTAGTACATGGGCTCATGTAGTGATGCTTCCTGCCAGATTGCTAGTAATAACATAAAGTTGGCCCCAAGGGCCAAAACCAGGAGGGGAGCCAGGGCTATGGATAGCCAGTGCTGTGTGTCCTGCATTCCTGGGAAGCAGATCATCAAGAATTCATTCACCTGGGTCCCTGTGTTGTTGAGAGATAATACCATGACTGGCAGGGGGCCTGGAACTGGCTGAAAGAAAAGACACATGAACTTAGGATTTGATTGTTTTATTAAAAACCTCTTAACAAGCTATCTACTTCCATTCTAGGCTGTAAAGTTCATCCACAATTCTATTGGCACAAAATCTGTCTAACATGTCAATTGCATCACATCAGTCCATGTTAAAACAATATTTCCTTAGTATTCATAACTTTATGAATAAAGAATAAGTTCCTTCATGTGAGTATGTTCCAACTGCACAAACATAGACTCAGCCACCTATTGAACATACTTTGCTTAGCCTCATCTCTGTGTTTTTGCATGTGTCATATCCTTTTTATAGAATCAACTCTCTTGCCCTCCAGTAACTAAGTTCTGCTTGTCCCATTCTATCTGTACCAGGAGTTACACCTCTTACAAATGTTTTTTCTTCTTACACTTATATACATACATACTTTCTTTATGATCCTTAAATACCCTGATCATGCTGTTATCAAAGCATTAATAAAACTTTCTATACTCATTGTTTTCTAATTGTTTCCCAAAATGTCTGTGCTCCATCTGCCAGCAATGGAATCTTACCTTTATATTACAGCACAGAGAAAAACACACTGCACATGGTGCCATAATTGTCACTCAATAAGTATAGTGCAGATACATGGGCTGACAGATTGTTGAAAGCATCATAAGGCCCTTGACAAATTTAATTTAGCATCTCCATATCCTGCTCTACTATAAACCTTCAGCATTCTTGCTTAATACTCGGTAAAAAGCTGAACAAAGCAGAATCGGATAAAAAATAATTTAGTGATGAGAAAAAAATGTGACCTTGTGGTAGAACAATAAATACAAAAGACACCTGTGCAGCATCTTATTTGCATTTGTATATGTATTTGGTAAGTAACTGCTTAAAAAAATAAAACTCACTATGTGTCCCTGGAAAAGGAGGAAAAATAAGGAAGGGAGGGTTCTAAGACAAGGGGAGAACAGAAGGAATACTTAGGCATGCCCAAAGCAATGATGCCACACAGACAGCAGCGTCAGTTCTCTGAGCATCTTCTTAACCACCCAGGGTCCTGTGGGGAAGGGGCTGCCAGGTTCTCCTGTGCTCTCCTCTGAGGCAGAGGGAAGAGCATCTCCTGCAGATGGAAGCTTTGGACATACGGTTGGGGCACACCTGGACACAAAAAGTGTCCCAATCAAGGTGGAGAGTTGTTTCATTTTTTCCCTCAAATGTGTACTGTGGGCTTCTCATCAGGATTTTCTTTTACCTAGACCAGTGAGGGGTTAGGAAGCGTGAGGATGCATCGAATCACCTGGAATTCTTGTTGAAACACAGGCTGCTGATCACAACCCTCAGTTACTAATTTTGAACATCTGGAGGGCAAGCTCAAAAATTTGCCTTTCTAACAAATTCCCAGTAATGCTGATGTTGCTTTTCTGGGAATAATACTTTGAGAATGACAGAGCTACACCCAACTATGATTATTAACCTAACCACTGATTTAGACTAACCCTAATTCAAGACTGCTACCACATTTCAGCCAGGCCTTGCCACAGCTCTGCTCAGCTCCAGATACCACATGCTTTTCTCGTGATCTGTAGTTATTTAAGCACATTTTTGGCCAATCTCTGGTGTCCCAATTTAAAAGTTATCTTCCACACATGGACTCTGGGAATTCTGTAGGTTCCTTTTGTAGGGGTTCATCTCTCTGCCTGGATCCATAGTTCTTAACCACCTCTCCTAGGAGGACCAAAGCACATTAAGGTCTAGGACAAGGTTTCATTCATTTTTCTTTGTGACAGTTGGCACAAATTCAGACACTTACAATATGTCTATATCAATCAAAGTAGGAATACTCTCTGGTCAACCTTCCTGCCAGAGACAGACCTGAGCTGACCTACTGTGAGCTCAGCTGACCCACACTCTAATTGGCTCATGCTCTTTTGACATCAGTTGTCTTCAGGGTCTTCATAAACTCACATCTGAGGGTCCAATAACATTCTCTAAAATAAACAAAGAATTAAGTCAGGGACCAAACATAAAGTGTAACTTATGCTTGGCTTTCCACTGTATTGTTCCCAAAATACTTACAGAGAAAGCCTGCTCAAACAGCAGTTTGGTCATCCAACCGCTTTCAGGCAATGTGTGCCTCCTCACTGGCCTTTTATTGGTGGCTTTAGCTCCTGGACAACTTTATGAAGATGCCATCTCTTTAAAAGCCACTCTCCTGTGGCTGAAAACATGAAGAATTGGTTTGGGAATCCTGCTCCCACGAGCTCTGGTGTCCCTACAGGCACATACACATTTCCAATGGAAAAAGATAGATTTCTGCGTCTAAACTGAGGTGAAGTGAAAGAGAGTTGATCAGATTATTGTTTCTCTTCAGATGTCTGAGAGTTATGTAAACAGACATATTATTTGTAATAAAAATGAATACCACTCAGAGACTTGGAGGATGTATTTAAAGAGATCCTTTAAGAAGACAAATGTCATTAGACTTACGGAATGACTTCAACTTACATATTAGCCACATTCCAGAAGAACTGTTTTTAAAATAAGTACTTTATGATGACTTATCACTAATTTTTATTAAGTTTTAGAAATATATTCACATATAGAAAATATGTCACTTAAGGAAAACAGTTATATGGAATCCTGAGCAGTAATTTAAAGTGCATACATTTAAAGGGGTTGAAATATAGGTGAAAGAAGGAGACAAAATGTCAGGTGGTGAGCACACTATAGAGTAGACAGATGCTATATTATGAAGCTGTACACCTGAAATTTATATAATGTTAATGTCACCCCAATACGTTTTTTTAGCAAAGGAAGAAATAATACAGTTTATAAAGATACCAAATTTCTTGAAAAATAAATTATTTTGAACAAAGCACTTATTAAAAATAAATCTATTTTATGTTTTAATAGTTTGTTTTTCATAATAATTTGCTTTGCTACAGCATTATTTATTAAACCAATTTGTGCAAATGGTGGAGGTTTTATTGAATGATATACTAAGAAAAAGATTTTTTTTTTCTAGAAAACCACAATTGAAGAATATATTTTTGACCTCAAGGAAAACAGAACTCTAAAATTTTATTTGTTTCTGTGACTAAGACGTCCGTACTGACTATAAGAACACCTCTAACTACATTTATATTAAAGAAATATTACATAAAACATCCCTTTCTGATTATTAGAATAACTGCTCTATATTTTTAAAAGAAGAGGCACGTTTCGACGTGAAAAAAAGGGTCATTGTTACACTTTCTCTGTGCCTTTTGTTTCAGCAGGCTTGGCCAGCTGGAATTAGATGTCAGCTGCAGAATGCTGAGGCCTGCGCGCAGTCAACAGCTGATCTCCCTCCTGCAGCCCCGTCCCAGCTCCCTGCCCCCGTTCCCACCCCGTGTCTCCGATTCTGCCAGCACGTCCTATTCTTGAGGTTCCCGCTGCGGCTCTTTCCCCCCTCTTCTGGCCCGGCTGTCGCCTCCCGTTTTTTGTCAAGCGCCGGTGGCTCCCTGCCCTTCCTCGGACCCCGCTGATCTGAGCTGGGCTCAGAGGCACCGCTGACCAGCCAGGGCGCCCCGGGCAGGGGCCTCCCGGTCCGGCGCCTCCCGCTGAGGGTCCATCAGCTCGGGGG